ACGACCAAAGCGAAAGCAGGTGGCTCTGCTTTTTCCTCCATAAATCAGAGTTGTGCACGTCTCTCTCACCTTCTCTTCGCACTTCCAACCATTGGCTTCTTGCTTCCTTCAGGCAAAATACTACCTCACAGGTGGTAAATAGGTGATGCCCATACTTCATGCAGGGAAGAGGATTAATGAACCAGATTTGCTTGTTGTGGGCAATTTCATCAACGCATGTGCCACCGAATGAATAGCTGGAAGTAATTGCATATTACTGACCATGCTGAGGTTTTTTGGGAAAGTCGACCCAAAATGAGGCTCCACTGCAAGCGAAAATCATTTAATAAACTCTTATTTTGAGAAGTATCACCACGAGGCTAAAACACGATGACTGCCGTAAGGTGAAGATAAAATGACGTTGTAAGTGGTATATGACTGCCCAGCCTAATTTAAACTGTGTTGGCAACAACTTCAAGGAACATGATAGCGTGGTGGTAGGAAACATTATCCAGGCTCCTGTTTCTCCACGGTTTGACGACTGGCGCATTAGAATGGTCCTCTGGTCGAAACCATAGCCTCCCGGAGCTCTGCACAATAACAATACCACTACTTGCTGTCTGGCAGAGCTCACTGCGACTTCAGGGAAGACTCCAGCTGATGTTGGCCAAATATGTGTGTTGTGTGATTCACTGACAGGAAATGTTTGTTTGCTAGTTGAAAACACACGCCTAAAAATCGGTTTATGTAGCTGTTCGATTGCAATATGGTCACAGATACGTGGGACTAGTTGATCGCCTTTCGCCGTTATGCCTTCTCGTCTGACTACACCGTTTGGGTGGCAAGCTGACGCACTGACCTAACCCGTGACCACGAATGTGTGAACATTCTGTGGGGTGGAAATAAACTTCGTTTCACCCATATAACTGTGACCATTTTATAAAACTCATATTACCACAGCAAATGTTATTTCCTCAGACCAGCCTTTTCACACTAATGGTCTGAAATCGCAGGTTGAAGGAAAAAGCACCTACAGCCTGGCATTTTGAACCCGTTAATGCGTAAAAGCGAAACAAACTGTTGAATCCATCCCCCCAGCACATGCTCTGAAGTAAACATTTTCCTATCCATTCTAACGTCAACTGATGGATCAAAATTCTTCTTTGGAATCTGTATTTTAGAAGTAAGTAAGTGAGAATGGACAAGAAATTCACGCACCGGAGGATGCCAAAATGACCATTTGAATAAATGTGCAGGTCATGACGTTCCTTTGTTTCCCTTATTTGTCAAAAT